GAGCAGAGGGTTAGAGCTGAGAGCAAGAACTGGGTCAGAGAAAGGAGCAGATAAATGGGGCAGAGAACACCTGGGGAGAGCTGGGGCCTCCACTGTGATGTCCTCTCTCCCTCAGGAGCCCCAGCACCTTCCGGGGCTTCATGCAGACGTACTATGACGACCACCTCAGGGACCTGGGTCCGCGCACCAAGGCCTGGCTCCTCAAATCCAAAGAAAGCCTCTTGAACAAGACCCACAGCCTGTGCCCCAGGATTGTCTGTGGGGACAAGGACCAAGGTTAAAATATTCATAAAAGCCAGGTGTGGTTGTGGCGGGTACCTGTAGTCCCAGCGACTCAGGAGGCTGAGGTGGAAGGATGGCTTGAGCCCAGGAGTCCGAGACCAGCCTGGGCAACACAGCGAGATCCCTTGGGGGGGGAAACAAAAAGAAATAAAAAAAGTTCATACTTCTCCAATAAATAAAGTCTCACCTGTGTCCCTGTCTGGATCCTTCCCCAGTGTGGCCAGAAGAAAACCCACCCCACCCCCTCCCAGGAATTAATGAGTAGAAGAGGTGACACCTGATGGGGAAGGGAGAGTTGGGGGGTAGGGAAGGGTATCAAGGGATAACACCCTATTGTGGGTTTGTGGAGAATGGGGGACTTCGAGGCGCACCAGTTTCAGGAGGGTGAGGGCAGGAGTGCAGGTGGAGTCAGCAGGTCCCCATGATGGCCCTCATTGAGAACTTCGCCCTTGTCTCCCACAAGCTCTGACTCCATTCCCAGTGGGCACCCAGCACCTCCAACCCCTCCACAGCCCCCAAGCCAGCCTCTGTCAGAGGCAAATTCTCAGAGTGAGGGTTCCCTGTCACTTGAGTGAAGGTTCCCTGTGGCGTGACCTTGGGGGATGTCATTGCCCTTTCTGTCCCCATCCACCCCCTCAGTGGTTCTGTTGGCCAGGACTTTGGCCTAGACAAAGGATGGGGGTGGTGGCTGTGGAGCGGAAGTGGGTCTCAAACGCTATAAAGCCTCTCTATGCCTGTCCGGAGCTGGTGAGGACAGCCCGCGAGTCTGGTAAGAGAGGGACCCAGGGTGCAGGGGCAGGGGGGCGTCAGCAGGGAGAGGGCAAAGATCGATAAAGTAGGAATTGTAGGAGGCACAATGTTAGAAGCCCGTGTTGGAACTGTGACTTTGTGTGAGTGTGTGTGTGTGTGATGGAGTCTTGCTATATTGCCCAGGCTAGACTCAAACTCCTAGGCTCAAGCAATCCTCCTCCCTCAGCCTCCGCAGTAGCTGGGACTATAGGTGCACCACCACACTCCGTAAATCACAGAATTTAGAAATGTAGACTATTTGAACCTCTGCTTAGAGTTGGGGTGGCTGAAGAGGGGAGGATCCCTTGAGCCCAGGAGTTTGAGGCTGCAGTGAGCTATGATCTTGCCACTGTGTTCCAGCCTGGGTGACAGAGAAACCCCATTTCTATAAAAGAAAAAGGGCTAGGCATATTGTCTCACGCCTGTAATCCCAGCACTTTGGGAGGCCGAGGCGGGTGGATCACCTGAGGTCAGGAGTTCAAGACCAGCCTTACCAGCATGGTGAAACCCCATCTCTACTAAAAATACAAAAATTAGCCAGGTGTGGTGGCGCGTGCCTGTAATCCCAGCTACTCCGGAGGCTGAGGCAGGAGAATTGCTTGAACCCAGGAGGCGGAGGTTGCAGTGAGCCCAGATCATGCCACTGCACTCCAGCCTGGGTGACAGAACAAGACTCAATCTTGGGGGAAAAAAAGAATGAAAGAATTTAAAAATCTAAAAAAGAATTGTAGGCTGGGCGCGGTGGCTTACACCTGTAATCCAAACGCTTTGGGAGGCCGAGGTGGAAGGATCTCTTGATGTCAGGAGTTGGAGACCAGCCTGGCCAACATGGTGAAACCCCGTCTCTACTAAAAATACAAAAATTAGACAGGTGTGGTGGTGCATGCTTGTATTCCCAGTTACTCAGGAGGCTGAGGCAGGAGAATCACTAGAACCCGGGAGACAGAGGTTGCAGTGAGCCAAAATTGTGCCATTGCACACCAGCCTGGGCAACAGAGCAAGACCCTGTCTCAAAAAAAAAAAAAAAAAAAGAATTGTAGACCATTTGCTTGAGCCGTTCTTTCTCCAGGGATCAGATTTCAGCCTCTTTCTGATGTAGCTTCCTCATCTCCTACCTGTGGATGATGATATTGTGCCCTGTGCATGTTCTTCGTAACCAAAAGTGCCTCCCTCATAGGGCGGGTGAGAACTCAATGAGCAGATGCAGGGACATGAGGTCTGACTTAGGGCTTTTGATCTAGTGTGGGTCCTTAATGGTGTCTGCAGAGCACCTCCCTGCACTGACTCAGGCTTAGCAAAGGGCAGGGGCTTTGCTGTGTTCCTGCTGGGCCCAGAACTGTTTAGGTGCTCAAGAAAGCCTTCTAGGCTGGGCTCAGTGGCTCACGCCTGTACTCCCAGCCCCTTGGGGAGGCCGAGATGGGAGGATCGCTTGAGCCCAGGAGTTCCAGACCAGCCTGGGCAACAAAGCAAGTCCCCCATCTCTACAAAAGAATAAAAATTAGCAGCCAGGCATGGTGGCTCACGCCTGTAATCCCAGCACTTGGGGAGGCCAAGGCAGGCAAATCACTTGAGGTTAGGAGTTCAAGACCCGCCTGGACAACATAGTGAAACCTCATCTCTACTAAAAATACAAAACTTAGGTGGGGTGCAGTGGCTCACGCCTGTAATCCCAGCACTTTGGGAGGCCGAGGCAGATGTATCATGAGGTCAGGAGTTCAAGACCAGCCTGGCCAGCATGGTGGAACCCCATCTCTACTAAAAATACAAAAAATTAGCCAGGCATGGTGGCAGGCACCTGTAATCCCAGCTCCTTGGGAGGCTGAGGCAGGAGAATTGCTTGAACCCCAGAGGCAGAGGTTGC